AGAATACCCTCCAAAAACAGGGACTGATTCGAGTAATAGTAAAAATAATAAAAACTTATCCAGACTTTGAGCTAACAAAGCATACAAAGACTGTTCCAGACATGGATTTTTTCAAGGACAGAGGCCACTGGTAGATCAGAACATTTTCCAAATAAAAGTCTGCATAAGGAATACAGCACCTTGATTCAATCAAGAAGATTTACACGATTTAAGCTGCAATAGAACACCATTTATTGACACCAGAGGATTTAGGGGTCTCTAGGAAAATTTAAGCCACAATGACAAAGGCCATCAATACCCCTCCTCTTGCCCATGGAGACACAGAGGGTTTCATTCACCTGTGGAGGAGCTGCTCATGGACAGACCTTCACCAGCAACAGCACTGCCAGAGCCAATAGCTTCACACGGGTAGAGGCATTCGTCTTCCAGTATAGCTCAGCAGGGCTGCTTCTGGCAGAGGATACCCAAGAGCTACACCAGCCCAGTAAGTTGTCGCTGGCCTCCCTGCTTTGCAGAGTTGCAACCTAGGCTTTGAAACACCAGCCCTAGTGAAACCCACGGCGCTGGGGCTCCTGTCCTGCAGAGCCCTCCTTCAAGGGTTTTCTGCACTGGGATTTTGTAACCTGAGTTCCTGTGTGAATAAAGCCTGACTCTGCAAAGCCAGGAATCTGCCAGGGGACAGTAAATTATCTCTCTCTGTTATTAATGTTAAAAGCACATGAAGACTTTTTTGGTAGAAAGATGAAACACCACAAGGCTTTCAGTTCCAAAGCCTTTAAAGAGATACAGTTATTTAACTAAGAAACAGAGTATTTTACAACTCATGGTATGAGTTCACTGATTTATTGGGCGATGAGAGGTAGGGTCAGTCTGTCCAAGTGCAGCGGGTCATATTTTCACAAAGATACAACATTAAAAAAAAAAACAAACCTAAAAAATAATGATGAATTAAGAGAAAAATTTACTGTTCAAGAGTCCAGCAAACCTATTTTACTCCTTTTTAACACTTCTCTGTACTCCTAGGCCCTACCTGTAGCTTGCAGGTTCCACATCTGAGTATAAACTTGAGTGGAAGAGAGTGAATGCATAAAAGGAGACTGGACTTGCTTGATTAAACACTTCAACAAGCAGTTCTGTATGAACATCTATGGGAGCAGCAAAGAGAGCCCATAAGAACATTCCTAAGGAAGCTGGTAAGACTGGCAGAAGCACAGCTGGGAACCGGTGCATGGAGAGGAGGAATGTCTGAGCACCAAGCCAACACAAACACTTACAAGTCAGTTCCCTGAATCTGCTTTTCACCCCACAACTGTTGGGTGCATTCCTCTCTGACATCAGCAGCCCACCCAAACTTGGGACAACTCCTTTGGCTTCTGCATGGGATGTTTTCTCAGGACAGTCCTACGTTTTATTTATTAGAGGTCCAATACCACAAGCCAAACTCAGAGGGAGTACTCCTTACTCATGCAAGTAGGACTGGGCAGCAAATGACAGCACAACAGAGCCCATAGACCAATGTCCTTCTCTAATGTAACCTATGCTTGACTTAATACAGACATACAGCTTCCGAATCTGCTGCTTCATGTACTTCAAAATTTCTTTGTTGTTTTTCTCTCGCATTCTGCAAGGTTAATAAGTGTCAAATTCAATAGAATTTCATGCCCGGAAGAGGAGGCAGGAGATGTTGCCATCTAGGAAAAGAAGGTCCATCCAGACTTTGTAAAACTGTATTATTTTCTCACATGTTATCTAGCAAGCTTGTGAGATTCCTTTCCATTTAGTAGTAATCACCTCTAAGGGAATCCATTCATTTCCTGTTCAACTTGCTGGCTCAACACAAAGTATCGCTATTTTGATTATGGATTTACATAAAGTAAATCAGGACAAGGAAATCTGATACGTAATTTTATGGATTATGACACTGGAAGAAGCTTCATCTGGAACATTTAAGTCACCTATAAAAATAATATATCTGAACTTGCAGAAGTAGCAAGTACAGCTTACGTAGCTAAATGCTTAAGCAACTGAGCTGTGAATCTCTGTATTGGAAATAATACGATAAAATCTACATCATCTGCAAATTTTGTTTCAAAAAATAACAATTTTCTAGCCATGGCAATGCATAAGAAAACTGCAGGCAACTGAAGCCAACTGCATGCAAAGAGGAAACTATGTCCTGGCTATGGGAGCCTTTCTAAAAAGTTATCTGATAATTTCTAGAACAGGACCCTAAATTCCAGCTAAACAGGGGTAGAATGGAGTGAGGTCAATATCATTTATTATTTCTATCATATTTTCATTTAAATTTTTTTAATTTAAATTTAAATTCTAAAAATACTATTATGAAGTAATTTTGAAATCACAAAAGATAAAAAGGTCTAATATGCTACCAGCTGTTTAATAAAGGATCTCACTGAACCAAAGCTTGCAGGCATTTGCTCCCGAGGTACAAATTGTGTCACTAAACTGACACAAGTCACTGGCTCAGAAATTGCAACCAGAGCTTGCTGCAGTGCTAAGTTGACTTCTGAGAGCAGGACCTCCTACGCAGGTACCAAAAGGACACTCCTTTTCTTCTTATGGGACTAGTACTGTTCAATAATTACTTCAAAGTCAAGAAACCAATTCAAAGATTGACTTTTTTTTCTCCTTCCCTGTAGATCCATCAGGTTAGTATGACGAAGGAATTCTGTCCTCTGTAGCCAGCAGTACACAAGTGGGGAAGGGGGAAGAGGCAACACAATTGCATCATATTTGGTTGCCTTTGACCTCTACAACTGAACTTAATATTAACGCAGCTTCAGCAATATGACTCAAAAAATTAAACCCTAGCTGGTAAACAATAAATGTAACTCATGACACTTTCTAACATATTTAGAAATGTAAAAATCCAAGTAGCATTTGCTGAGTTATACAATGTTTATATGAACACAGATGTAGTATGTCTTCCTGGTTTGCCAAAAAAAAAAGTATCAGATGATATGTCCAATACAAGTCCTTTTCCTTTAGGAAAGTAACTATAAAAGCATAACTGTAAAAGTGACTTTTTAAACCAAGGCTGCCTGCCTGTAAGATATAAAGTCGCTCTGATTCATATTAGACCTTGATGGTTTAAGGAAGGATGTGAGAATTCCCTGTCCCTAAAAATAAATACAGAGAAATCAAATTTGTGTCAAGCAAGGACTTGACAAAATACATTAAACTTCTCCATCCTTTTTGTCCAATTTTAGGCTTCACTAAAACGAAAGCTCAGTTTGCAAGATCCAGAATGTCCGATGGAAAAGTTTTAAAAACATTTTGAAATTGTTGACTTCTACAATTTTGCCTCTAGCAGACAGCATCAGAGAACAGCCATTTCCCTCAGGGACAAAGCTCAGTGCAAGAAACTGAAATAAATTTCTCCAAAGCTTCACACCACTCTCCAAATATAAACAGCATGTCTTTAATTTCCCTTCCAATTGGATCTCAATTATATGAGAACAACTAATAAGCTAAATGGCAGTGCTGCTTAGTCACATTCCTGTTAGTACTCAAGGACAGCCAATCAAAACAAGAAGCAGTCTTCACAGCTACTTAGGAAATAAGGAAAATTCTAATACTACTTTGGTGCATTTCAGCACACAGGCTCTAAATCCAGGTTCTATCCTTGACTTCAGGAAACTGGATAAAAACCAGTTCGCCAAGAGATTAACATGGAAAGCAGAGAAGACAGGCCAATTTTGTTACATGCAAACAAATATCAGAATTTTCTTCCTCTGAAGCTCAGCCTTCAGGCCCCATTTCCCTGTGGGAACCTTGCACACTCTCCCAAACCTCTTCCTCTTCCTTTGGATTTCATTACAGGCAATTCTGAGAATTTCCATTAATGGAAGAAAGTCCGTGGTTTTTTTCAGTATTTGCAAAGTATTTCTATTTTGTCACTGATGCCTATGTCGAACCCAGAGGTGCATATCCCGTCTCCTAAACCACACAGGACTCAAAGAAGTATTCTACTGGCTATGTCCCACTCCATGGAAACAAAAAATATATAATTATTTTGAATTTCCAGAAGTTTGGTAATTTCCATTATTCATACGTGCTACAAAGAAGTTGCAGTCTGCTATAAGCAAAAGCTGATTAGAAGATGATGCTTTGTATTCTTTAAACACAGATTTTAAGAAAAAAATATGCCAAAGAGGGGAAAAGTGAAATCGAAATATATCTATTTTCACATTTTATGTACCATTTTATATCTTCTAAGAACAGCCATTAGAAAAGAAACACTGACAGCAAATTGCCTGTAACACTGCTATATAGATATTGCAGTATATAAAACAAGCATTTGTTGCAACAAAGCTGAGTATGCTTCATTTTATTTTTTATTAAACTCTATATAAGTCAGTTTAAAAGCAAGGGCTTCCAAGAAAAATATGTAGCACACCACTTCTGCAATCAAAATGTTAGTACACACACTGCACTACTTACACCACATAATGCTTTTTATGTTATAGATCTGTAATATGTATTTCACCTAATGTTTTCCCTTCCCTTTTTAAAGGAAAAACATGAACCATATCTTCAATTTTTATACGCTACATGATAAATTGGCCTACCAAGTAAATTTTAACCAAGCATAGTGATTTTATAAAAAATGTGTATTTAAAAAGGAAATGGAGAAGACACAATGCTGTAGCGAGTTTTTCTCCACATTAAGGTCCAGAGAGTACTTTAAAGGGAATACATAATACTTCCAAGTGTACAAATTTG